TCCTTTTGCTGTCTTACCTGATTTCCAGCTCTGTCTCCCTAATGCTAACCAGAGGAAATGGCGGGGACTGGCAGCGCATGCATTTAAATACTTTTGGGGAGGACTTATTTTCGGGGATGTCTTATTTGGGTGGGGCTTATTTTAGCACATGCAAACAGAAGCCCAATTGGGCTTATTATCAGGGGATGTCTTATTTTTGGGGAAACAGGGTAGAATGCAGTCAATACACAAAGAAATTAAGAAATATTCCATAAAAGTCTGTGAAATGCATTTTGAACATGAGGGTTATATTTGGAGGCTGTTTTGATTGCTCTAATGTATTTACACATTTGTTTACTTGGGACTGGGGAAAAGAAAATAATGTATGATGGTTACTCCTAAATTTGGGGAAACCTTATTTTCCTCTCTAGAACATGCAAGTGCATTAGTGCAGCTACTCTTTAAAGCAGCAATGTCTCTATTCAGGCTTTTACATGAACCTGAAAAAAGATGCAGCTGCTCTGATAAGTTAAAGATAACTTATTAAATCAGCCATTTTTTTCAGATTGAAAAAGATTGAAAAAATCACACCTTAAAAAGATGCAACACTCGCACCACTGCATGTTGAGATAGATTAGACAGATAGATGATAAATAGATAATAGACAGACAGATATAATAGATATAGATATAGATATACAGATATATATATCAATCTACCTTTGATTGCTGATTCTGAGAAATGTCCCTGCATGATAATGTTTGGAGATACCTATCACCTTCATTCATTATCTTTTCAGGTATGCTTCTAAATAGCTTCTAACGAACAGGAGGATCTTAAATATTGACACCAATGCATTTGCGAATAACACCAAGAAAGTAGCCAAGTAAAGCCAGAAAACCCTTTTACACTACCTTAGCATTGCAGGAATCAGAATAAATCCATGCACTTATTTGTTGGTGCAGATATACAATCAGAGTCTTTTGAAGCCAATGATTCACTCAAAATATAAATTCTGTCCAGTCACAAAATAGTGGAATAGTGGAAAAGAAGGAATATCCTATAATGCGTAAGTAATTTGTGAAATGTAAATTACAAGTCATAGTAGGAACCAAATATAAAAAATAATTTGATGATATTGTCACCAATAACTCCAGTGCAAATTGAATGCTAATCATAATTATCTCCAAACTGTTCAAGCCAATGCAGGAACAGGAACCATTACAGTGCTTTCAGTCATCAATCATACTCTGTTGATTAGCAGCATTAAATGCAAACCAAACAGTGGGGAGTAAACTGATCTAAACACCTTGGTGCAACAGAGTAATGTATAACAGCAAATTATTTGTTCATCGCACTGCTACAATTAATAATACCTTGGTTATAAAAGACACTGTAAGTTGTGAACGTCTGCCAAATTGTGGAATTAATCCATTGGTTTCTACGATCTCCCTAAAGCATAACCTAGCTAGCATTACCTCAGAAATTCCCAAGACATAGATCTCCCATGATTTGCAATGTAGGTTCCTTCAGACAAATCTGATTAAAAAGAAGCTAAGAGAAGCTGATTGAAAAGAAATACAACCAATTGCATATGTAGCTGTAGTATATACCTATATGACAGACTAAGGACAAATAAAGATTTTCAGATGAAAAGGACCATGTTTACAGAGGGAAAATGTGACAACCTAATTTTATCCTCCCTAACTTGGCTTTGTCCTCTGTTGTGCAAAAGAAATCTGAGAATGGTATGCAATGTTGCAATGTGCTTCCCATTAATTGCCTATTTTGGAAAGATAAATCCTCAGACAAATGCAAAAGCTTGCTTACTACACGTATGTTGGTATGGTATAACATACATTCCACACACATACCCCACATTTTTAAAGTGTACTTAATTCTATCATAATAGTAGAATGTATTTCTATGCATACATTCAGATAATTAACATCATCATAAAAAACATTTTAGTCAATTTATGGCCCTCTTCTTAAAAGTACAGATATAAGCTTTACGATAGTCTAGTGATGAAATTGTCTATGTCCAATAGCTCACCTAGACCTATTTCTTTAACCACACTTTCTCCCATCTGCAAGAAAACACAAGAGCAATGTATGAAAAGCCTAACATATAACAGGAAGAAAAGTGAACTATACTAACATAAATAATGTCATCTTTATTGAACCATAGTGGAATCTATATGCTCAAATCATCTGCTTTTCCTGAATCTGAGGGCCTGGAGAAAACCAGAATAGCAGGAACATGACATTTATACAGAGCGAAACAAATATTGTAGTTACAAAAACAAACTAATGTATCAGTGAGAGAAATTTACTTGGCTCCACATGTTCCTACAGGATCATTCCTGATTGTGTAAATTCATCTTTTGACACAGATCTCTCTGTGTTTTGTTTATTGCCTTTAATTCCCAAAATGCTCCAGATAATGCAGCTTCAATAAATAACCCCTTCAAAAGAAAATGAAATAAAACTTAAGTGACCACATCTTAAATCTTTGAGGTTTGACTTTATATCAATATTCATTTATGTCCAATAGCTGTCAGCTGAGAGACTTTTATACAGATTGGTTTTTAGAACTACTATACAAGGACACACAAACACACACACACACACACTTATGCATTTCATCAGAATTTCTGTTAATTTTCTCCTTTTTCTGTACACAAGAGTCAATCCCAAATTATGTTTGACAAAGAGTCAGATTGGTTTTTATACTGTACATGCTTGCCATAATATTAGTGCATTTTTTCCACAAATATTTTTAATTAGGTTAGAACATATCACACATCTGTGCTCTGGAAGCCTCTGTCAACCCAGCTAATGCAATCACATGGAAACCAATGTCCTCCAGCTATCAGACAATTGATTTTTGCAGGATTCTGCTCTTGTGTAGCTTAAGGGTCATGCAATATGTTCATTCATTTGTTAGACTGTTCACCCTTACTTCATTAAGAGGGAATATTTAATATAAGATTGAAATATTCTGTTCCCTCTTCTTCAAAAACCAAAAAGAACTGTTCTTAAAATATGTACCCAAAGCTCAATGTTAGTTACCATAAAATATATGATATAGCCAATGTAATTTCAATCCATTTGAAGAGGAATATGAAATACATGCTGAGATACTTTTCACTGAAATGAATGGGATTTCATTTCATTAACACTGTACCTAAAGGATACAACTTTGAGATTTAAAAATATGTAACTGGAATCATAACTTGTATGTAGTCTGAAAGAGCACATGTAAATTACGCAGATTTTTCTCTTCAATATTTTCTATATATGACATAATTTATCACCTATCCATTATTGAAATGTGCTATTGACACAATATCGATAGATGACAAAAAACAGTATAGGAACAATGAATTTAAAAAATCACATAACCCAAGAGAAAATAACTTTTAGTCTTAATTTATAAATATATAATCCCTAAATAAAAACAAATCTTTCTTTACACATATAGACACATACACTATAGGTCACAGGAAAAATGTTCTATAGTACTATAACTTATATTCTCTAAAATTGTAGAGGGTTACATAGGAAGAGTTTCTGCAACTTATTGGTTAAGAGCATTTCAACATGCAGTATGAAGTCCAGTTATGAAACTCATATCCACTGCCTAAAAGCCACTGAGAATATTGCAACCTTACTCCCTCAGAAACATCTTGGAAAAATCTTTTCCTACAATATATAATGTAATAATTCACATGTAATGCAGCAGGGGCATTTAGCATAAGAACATCTGAAGATGAAGAGAGCAAAACTTTCTTAATTTGGAAGCTTCCTTCTAAGGTCAGGTAGGAACTTAAAAGAACTGCTCCATTTCACTTGGCAATTGTCCTCTTTGGAACTGGGTTAAGATTCTCATGTTGATATTTTGATGCAAAACAGTGTATTACATATTAAAGCACCAAAGCTCCATTTGAAAACAACACAAGGAATGTACTTTTAAAATCTTCAGCACCATATTCCTATTTTTAACGCCATGAAAGAAACAGTACTTGAAACTTCTTGTTTAAGGCTCATATATCTTTTGAGAAAATAGAATCTGAAACCATTTTTTAAGTGCAGTGCCCAAATTTAGAAGAAAAGGGGATCTCAACATGCCTTATTTGTTGTAGTATTGCAGGTTTACAGTCCACTTATGACTGACTTCTACCCTAAACTTCGAATATATCTTATATATTTATGTACATTTTATAAAAAAAAAATCACAAATATTTTTAGCAAGCTGGGATACATCCAGTATGGTCTTCAGAAGCATCCCTTTTTAAAACCTATCACATTTAAGTGCATCCTTTCTCTTTAAACAAGTCCACGTACATAAGTGCATATATATACAGAGGCATAATTCCAGTTATGTGTTCACTCAAGCAGATCAGACATTAACTTGACTTGACACCAATGTATGGATGTATGGAGACATATCCAGAGGATGTATGCATTACAAGATAATAAGAGACATTTACAACCCAGAATATAGGAGCAGGGCAGCCACAAGTGACATCACCAGACCAACTGCAGTGTCAAGTCACTCCAATATATAACCATGCACATCACTGCTCTCACAGCCTCCTCTCTGCTCTCAGCGATTAGAAAACACTCCTGATTGCAAATATCAGAGCTACTTTCCAAACACAGCCAAGGATGCCATATCTTGTTGGCATACAGGAAAGATTGTGGGGGTTGCTAAATTGATCAAGACATTCGTGTTTTTAAAAAAGAACTACAAAATGCATCACCATAGAAACCCAAAAGTAAGAAACTACAGTAATAACACTAAAGTAAATGCCATTTCCAGTTATTCAATACAAGTCAGGATTTCACCAACAACAGAAAAGTAACTGTGGTTTCAATGCATCCAGGACATGGGGCTTAAAAATTCAAGGGTTTGTTGTTGTTGTTGTTTTTTCACCCTTAAGGGATGTAACTACACTGTGTCTTCATTTCACTATCATGTGATCATAACTTTAGAGAAACGGTTATTTTACTTACAGGCATTTGTTACAGCGAAGCTGTTTGCTGTTTCGATGTTGTCTACGTGAGGAACCAAATTAAAAGGTGCTTCAGATGCATTGGGGCTGGTGTTGTGAAGAAAAATTGCTAATCGAAAAGCAGTATATTCCTGATCTGTGTTTCTGATGAAGAGACCACCTATCATAAATGACAGAAAAGAAGGAAAATGTTATTTTTATTTTTATGCCAGCCCTTGCAAGTAGCTTTCCTAGTAATCATAAAATTCATGTTTATGAACATAAAGACTCAAAAGCTTGGGAGACTTTTAGAATCCCAGTTTCTGGTAGGGTTTTGAGTCCCCCCCTCCTTCCATTTTCAAATCTCCCCATTTCTCCTTCCTTTACGTATTTGCTAGGATGAGAATGACCTTTGAAACCATTTACCTTTCATCTATGTGAACGGGTCTAAATTGGCCCTCCCCATCTAAAGCAGCAGGCAGATTAAAGAGAACAGAGCTCTCAAAACACAGGCAAAGGTTTTTAAGTACGGCAGAGATGAGACCTTATGTACTCATATACTCCAAGATATGCATTCCCCTTTTATGGGCTGACCCTAGGAAAGGGTAAGAAGAATTTTTTTGGGGGTGGAGGAGGGCAGAACATCAAGAACTTTCCTCTTCTGCAGCCTCTGGGCAGGCAGGAAGTTGCTTAGCCTTATTAACAGCATCTTTAGGAGTGCACGAGAAATGATGCAGTGGTTTAGCTGGAACTGGAAGGGATTCAAGGGCTGAGTCCCATGCAAAGAAGGAGAAAAAAAAAATGAAGGCAACGGAAACGGGGCAGAGACAAGTGGGATAGGGATGCTAGGGAGACCTTTAAAAAAAAAAGAAAAAGAAATCATAGCCAAGTTTTCAAAGTAATGGTACCCAAGACTATCTAAACACCATCACCAGCTCCGGGCCCCTTAACAAATAGCTTGCTGCAATGGGCAGGCTGGGCTAAGAGGAGGGTTAAGGAGGATCTTGGAGAAAGGGTGCATTTCAGAGGTGGTGGGAACACCTTCCCAAGTTTGAACACACATTGCACACATGCATATATATTTATATATATATATATATATATACAGATATCCGTCTTGCCGACCATAACAGGCAGAGCCGGCACTCTCTTTCCCTGCCTCCCTCCCACCAGTCCACCCCGCATCCCTGCCTTCACAAAGACACGTGAGGGGACGGGAAAGGGGCACTCGGGGACACTTGATCACCCCTCTTTCCGAAATGGAAAGCTGTGGCCAGGGTCGGAGTTTGCCCCTCCACTTTCTCCCCTCCCTCCCTCCCTCCATTCCGTGCCACCCCGCCGGGTTCAACACTCTCCGCCCCCCCCCCTCCCGCCACCTCGCCTCCAGCCCCAATGCAGCGCTTACCTATTTGCACGCTGCTAGGAAAAGCGCCCATTGCAAGTCCCCAAAATCCAGAAAACAACAAGACAAGCTGTCTGCAAATAATCCTCATCTTCTTCTTTCTCTTTGCCTCCCTGGGTCTCCTCCTCCTCCTCCTCCTCCTCCTCCTCCTCCCGCGCTCTTCCTATATGTTGTTCAGAGAGGCATTGAGGATGTGGTGGTGGGGGGGGGGATGATGTCGGGAGAAGGAAGAGGGGGGGAGAGGAGGACTGGACACCAAATTGAGGTGGGGGGGAATGGGGAGGGGAAGCCAAACGAAAGGGGAAAAGGGGGGAAAAGAGAAGAGGGTGGCTGGTCCCTTCTTTCCTTCTCTTTCTTTTTTTTTTTTTTCTTCTTCTCCCCCTCCCTCTCCGCCTGCTCGCCTGCCTTTCCCCCACCCCCCCCACCCCACTCAGCGAGCCATCCTGCCGAGGCGCCTCTTTCCCGCAGTCTCCATAACCTCGGCAGAGGTTTCGGTCCGACTGCAAAGGTTTCACGCGCAAAAAGATGGAGGGGCGAGAGAGTTGAGCGGTGAGAGCGAAGGAGTCTACTGGCCGCCGCCGCCGCCGCGCTTGGAAAACCTAGACCTGCGCTATTCCTCCCGCCTTCCTGCTCCGGCCGCCGCTACCCTGCCTCTCCTTTGCTGTTTCTCTCCCGCCCGCCTTCCCGCCCTGGCTCCTTTCGGCAGACACGCAAACGCAGCCTCGCCACCAGAACCGCCACCGCGCGGTGGGCATTCCCACAGCAGCGCCTCGGACGCCAATCCTGCCTTAACCCCGCCCAGATAAAGGCGCTCGGAGAGAACCGAGCGGCGGGAGGGGAAAACGTGCCCTCAAAGCAAGTTCGGACGAGCGGGCTGGCCGGCCGTCGGGTTGGTCCTTCGCCTCGTTGGCCTGCGCTCCCGCCCTCACAGGCCAAGGAGGACTCGCCGGCCCGCCTTAGGAGAGGTGGCTCGCACGTGGGAGAGCCCCTCCCGCTCTTTATTACACGTGTGAATGGACTCCACGGAAATAGACGGCGTGGATTCACACGGCAAGTTCAACCCAGCTAGTTGTGGAGCGACCTCTTAGATGGGATCCCAAAGGTGCTTTTTTTTTTTCAAGAGGCAAACTGGACTTTCTGGGTTTTTTTTGTTTGAAGATTTTCCCTTGTCATCCAAGAAGCTTCTTCAGACCTGAGGAATGGATGAGAAGCGAAAATGTCTTCAAAGAAAAACCAGAAAGTCCAATTGCCTCTTGAAAAAGCATCTTTGGGACAAGCATGACCTGGATGACTGAGAATCTCCATAGACATTTAGCTATGCACTTTGGGATGAAAGCCTTTCAGAGCTCAAGAAGCTTCTTGGATGAGAAGCGAAACGTCTTCAAAGAAAAACCAGAAAGTCCAGTTGCCTTTTGAAAAAGCACCTTTGGGACAACCATGACCTGGATGACTGAGAATCTCCATAGACTCGTAGATGGGATTTTAGCTTTCTGTGCATATGGACAGTTTAGGGTTTCCATAACTTGCAGGAAGGGAAGAACTTGAGCAGTAACCTGGTTAAGCTGATTGTGTGGCACTGCTGTTGGGTTTGAAGTGGAAAGAGGCGGATTCATAGCTCATTCAGACTTGCAAGCCCTTGCTTAAAGCATCAGAGCAGTGTGTGGGGTGCATGGGGACCTTCAAACCCAACAGCAGCGCCATATAATGTGCTTAACCTAGGTTCCACCCTTCCAGCAAGTTATGGAACCTAAGTTGTCCATATGCACAGAAAGCTAAGATCCTGTATAAGTCGCTCCACAACTAACCTGATCAAACATGCTGTGTGAATTCAGGCTGTCTGTTTCCATGGAATCTGTTCACACATGCAATATCAACAGGAGGGGCTCTCCCACATGAGAACATCCTTCCCCTAGGCTGACCAGCGAGTCGTCCTTGGTTGTGCAGGTGGCGCGCAGGCCAACAAGGTGAGGGACCAGTCTGATGGTCAGTCTTCCTGAATTTGCTTTTAGGGCACGTTTTCCCTCCTGCTGCTTGGCTCTTCCGAGCACCTAAATTATCCATATGTTTCTCAGTTTTAGGCCACCACTTGTTTTGTACTACAATTCCCATCGTCCCTTCATTTAGTGAAGCAATGAAAAGCAAAACAAATTATGCTGCAGAGATAAGTTGTATTCTTTTTACAAGTTTGCAGGCCATCATACATATGCAGGAGTATCCACAGCATATGGTCAAGAAAAACAAGATAACAATTGTGACCATATGATCAAAGCTCTGTGCAACCCCATACTAAAATTGGACTGAAGTCATTCACACATTTTCAGCCATCGTTTTCACTTTTTTGACTGTAGATAGCCCTGGTCCCCAAGTCACGATATTGAGCTTTCACTCATGCCATGATATAATGTATATTAAAAGGACCAAAATGAGCCAAAGAAACCAACAGCAACATAATGCAGTGTTGTGTGAACTTCATAGTTCACACAACACTATAAATATAAAGTCCCTGGTTCAAACTTCACCTCAACTTTGAATTCGTTAATCAAGATGAACAAACTTTGAATTCCTTAATCAACTATGATTTCAGAGTAATATAAGTTCATTTCAGGATTCTTAGAATTTTTATACAGCGTGTTATAAAAAACCCTAGTCTTATTCACAACTCCCACTAATAGTTTTGTATGTTTCAAAAACCCTGCAAAATTCCACCCTGGATGAGTCTATGGCTGTGTGTGTGTGTGTGTGTGTGTGAAATAAATCAGCTGTTCTTAAATATAAAGTGGAAGGAAAATAGTGGTTTCCTAATTCAGTGAATACCAAATAAATTCAAATAGGGATCAGTCTGTATGGTTCAGCATACTCAACTGGTGTGAGAACATAAAATACAAGAAGATCCTGCTAGATCAGGCCAATGACCCATCTAGTCCAACATGTTCTGTTACAAATGGTCAACCAAAATTCACAAATGTGGACAAGATGACTCTTAGCCCCTTTCACTATTACTCCTTATCTTCCAATATTTAAATAGTTATTTCTGCAGTTCAGGGTTCAGGAATGAGTATAGGAAGTTAGCACCCACCCCTCTCCTAGAAGAATGAAATATTTTAGGAACTATTAAAAAGGCAGAATATATTTCCCTGGATGAGAAATGGAGAAACATGTTTTAAAGACAAAGCAGCTCCCACCTTCCTGCCTCCCCCCCCACCTTTGTCAATGAGCCAGAGGCAGAAACCCAATTCCCTCCCACCTTTGTCAATGGACCATCATCTGCAACACAATAGGACCCATCTAGCAACAGAAACTCATCACATGGCACCTGGGAAGATTACATCAGCCAGCAAGGCTAGCTAAGACTGCCACCCCCCTGGGAGTCTGACAACCAATCAGGATACTCTTCCTGTCCCCCAGGAAGTTCAAAGCGCAGAGAGGGCATAAAACCAAGGCACACTAGCATCTCGCCCCCTTTTCTGTTCATGAACTCAAACCATGTGATCCTGTCCACCATTAAACCATCTTTCCAAGCAGTCTCCATGTTTCCAGTGTCTTTTTCCCCACTTGGAACTGAACCCAGAAGGATATTTCTTCCAACATGAGAAAGCAACCAATCTCTCTCTCTCTCCTTCTCTCCCTCTCTCCTCTCTCTCCCTCTCTCCTCTCTTTCTCTCCCCCGCCCCCATTTGTAAGCCTGCAGCATAGATCATTTATTGAAGCTTATACACAAGAATCTAGTCAACTAATGGTCAGCACTAAATTGATGCTAGATAAGGATCATCAGAATTCATGGTGAACTAGACTTAGACCTCTTGTGGCAACCAATGACTCTAAACTGATGATATATTTAACTCCACCCTCCAGCTCTGCCTTCTCTTCTCCTATAAGAACTCTACAATCTCTTGGTTTCTAGCATGATGTCTTAAATACTACACCAAACAATCTCCAATGGAGATTGTTTGGTGTAGTAGATAAGACATCAGGCTAGAAGGTTAAAAATTAATCCTCCATTATTCTCCTAGACATCAGGCTAGTAGTTAAAAATTAATCCTCCATTAATTTTTTTACCTCATTTAAAATATATAAATTAGCAGTCACAATCACCTCTGATGGCAGTACATTCATAATTATTTATGTGTAGAATATAGATGTATTTTTAATCTTCCCACATTTTGTTTTCTTGTATAGTCTGTGTTTTAACATTATGTGTCTCTGTCCACATTTTCATCCCATGCATAATACATACCGGTATATATCACATCTCCTTTTATTTACCATGGCTCTAATTAAAATACCCCAATTGCTGCAATCTTTCCTTGTAGGGTGATAATAATTTTGGATGCTTTTTTTATGCCTCTCTCCCTGATTCCCCATAGCATGACTGATCAAAACGGTTTCCATAACTATCTGGAACAAACTCTGGTCTAAAAAAAAAACATAAATGCAAATGTATTTCTGCCACAGCACTTATTTTAAGATCTTTTATCAATGAATGGGCATTTAAAAGTGCTCAAATTTGAACTGGGTTGTATCCCGTGTATATATTGGATTGTTCAAATTTGGCAACTTTAATATGTGTGGACTTCAAATCCTAGAATTCTGCAGCAAACATGATGTTGGCAAGTTTAAAAACACTGGTTTAAAAGATTCTTCCATTAAGCATGAAATTTGACTCGAAATTATACAGGATGTACTCCATTACATATTTTCTAAGATTATTTACTGTGTTTCCCTGAAAATAAGACCCTATCTTATTTTTTATTTTATTTTTTGAACCCTGAAATAAGCGCTTTGCCTTATTGCCATGTGCTCAAAAGCCCAATTGGGCTTATTATCAGGGGACGTCTTATTTTGGGGGAAACAGGGTACATACATAAATAATTATTACTACTAACCCAACAAGCAAGCTCTCTAAAATGTTGATTTGAATTCAAGATTTTGAAAATATTAGGATACAAAATCAGATACATATCTATTATCAATTTCTGGCCATATTATCACTGTGTGCAGAATATCTGCATTTTCAGTGCAAACAATAATCCCTGACCTAGAGTTGAACAGAGTTCCCATTAAATCATAACATTATGAGAAAACAATATATCTTACTGTCCTGTACATCACTTGTGGCATGTTTTTAGGAACTAGCAGCCACATCTAAGATTCATAATGTGTTGTCCTACGTTAGCAAATATAGGCGCTGTATGTTGCTGGTGGTTGACTTATACTCACAATGATCGTTGTTGTCCTATAATTCTCGGATCTAAGATTTCTGGGAGCACAGCAAATTGTGTGGAGGCTGTGACAAAATGTCTCTTTAGACCTAACAAAAAGGCACTTGATAGTCATGATTGTGAAGAGATTACTCATCTTCCTTT